TAGATCACAGTGAGCACTGGCTCCATTGCCCATGTGTAATCTCCTTCTAGCCCTTTAGATCTCATCTTCATACCTGATTTCTCCAGTTTTTTAATTTCCTTTGTTACTAAAGAACTTTGGCTAAGACTATTACAGTCCTGGTTTTATCCTTTACCGCATCTATAAGCTTGAACCAACATTGTTTGAAACACACTAGGTTAGATAACTTCTAATCATAGTTCCTCTACTAAAATACTTAAACTCTGGATCCTGATTTTATGGTTGATAAAATTAGGATAATAGTATCTGTTCCATCTTTCCTTAGAGCTGCAGTAAGTAGAGCATGAGCTGAGGTATGTATGTACCTACGTACGTATGTATGAATATTCTTTGTAACTTACATAGTATACCAAAGAAATGTACTGTGATTTCCGGACATGGTCTCAATTACCACATCCCATATGATAATATACGGCTGCAAGAAATACCTGGCTATACAGAGCTGCATTAGTTGGATATTTCCTTTAAATTTATTTTAAACTTCATACCCTTGAATTTTTTGTACACTAAGATATAAAATCCCAGGGTTTTGTGACATTTCTTTGATCTGGGAGAAGAAAATAACATACGAAATCCTACCTAAGGAAGGAGTCAGAAACATCAAAGCAGATAAGTACAGTGTGAGAAAAAAATGTCCATCCCCCCAAACATGTTGACTGGAAATTTGTATTGTCACAAAGTACTGGTATCAACCACATTCTTTCAGAACAAAATCTAAAGGCAGGGCTATGAATCAAGAAAAAATAAGCTGAGCAGAAAAACTAGAAGACTGAATTAGAGATTTGATCATTTCTACTCTCCAACTAATTTTAAATATTGCTTTGCATCAGGCTTCAACACAGAAATACACACGCCAACACATGCAGACATACACATATCCTATACACCCATCCAGATGCCAAAGAAATCTTGATAATAAAGTATATAAACTGATTTTATTGATGAGAGATGATAAAATAAATAAGAAGCAGACAGCTTACTTAGTACCCCCACCTGACACATTCTACAGGAATAAATTGTGATGGAGAGAACCTCATTCTCCACGTTAATTGGGTCAAGGCCATATGTCCTTGATTCCAAGAGAAGTTAGAAAAACGTTAAGCTAGAGAATATTTGTTATTTTAGTCACAGGATGACAAACATAAATTTAATTTTTTCATTAACTTAATAAAGCTATCATTAAAAAAACTGTATCATGTAAAGAGACCAAACTGGAAGGTAATACTACAGTCAAAGTATCAAAGAATAGAAAAATAAAGATCTAGGAAACCATGTAAGTAATTGGCAGCAAAATCTTAGTTTTTGCTCCTTTGGCATCATGCTTCCTAATTGTTCTTTCTTTCTTCATTTCTTGTGGGGTTTCTACCCATTCTCTCTGACATGTAGCTTTTTGAGGAAATGATGATGATGATGATGATGATGATGATGATGATAATGATGATGATATGTTTGATTTGAGAGAAAGATAAGGAAGAAATATTCAAGCACACCTAGTGTTTGCCTTAGTTTTGGGTAAGCACAAAGCTCATGAAGGAAGTCTTTAAATATAGAAATATACTTGTTTCCTATAATTTGAATCAGAAGATAGTATAGCAGCACCATACTTTGAGGGGTAAACAATAGAATAAGTCCACGTAACATGATTTTTTGCTTGTGTATTCCCAAAAGGTACTTTTATAAAAAAAGGAATATTTGGTAAAGAGTCTTGTCTACACCTCAAAAATCAGTACATGACGCCAGAGTCTATTATGAACTTTCAGCCTGCTTAATTAATTGCTTGGATCACTTCGTAGTTAATTAATATAGACTCTATTGTGAAAATGCCTGAGAATCCCTAAGGAAATAGCCTGTGCAGATAGGTCATCAGTATGAAGGGCAAAAATCAATAGGAGTTGTCTAGAACTGAGACATAAAAACAGGCTTTTCTTCATTTAGGCAAAGAACATAGGATCACTCCCCAAATAAAAACTGCCTCACGTGGTCCAAAAATAAAAGTGTCTGGTTTTCTAACTTTGGTTCAATTGATTTTCATAAACTACCTACATACCTTTTACTTTTTGAAGTTCAAATATCATATTGGAAATATTTAGGGCTCACCAAATATCCCAAGTACTTGTCTGTATTCCCCAACACCCCCACCAGACCCTCTAGGAATGAGGGTTTGGGTCACCACCCCAGGTAAAGAATGCACCAGGCTCAGCCTGCTGGTGCTTGCTGAAGCCAAAGAGAATATAGAATGAGAAGTAGAAGAAGATAATTACAATTACGAGCTACAACCATGTAACCAGTTACAGAAACAAGAACTGAAATTGTCAAGAATATTTCCTATTTATTTTGTTATGAATACGTTTGGGGGGGGGCATGGGTATGGGTGTGTGTGTGTGGCAGAAGTACATAATTTTAAGCAAGTATCTATTTTCTTTCCCCTCTTATTCCCTTATCATCTAACATAAGATGTATTGATTTTATATCATAGAGTTTAAGTATTGTTAACCTTATATCCTATTTAAATTACAGGATACCAAGGAGAAGAGTAAACCTCACTCATAGATTTTACGTCCTCTTCTGGGGAAGAGGTTATGTGTCTTTGGTTGTAAGCAGGATTGTTGTATCATATTTGGTAGAATAATGATTTTGTTATTACCCTTATTTGAAAGTTAAATATGGGTTAAAGAGACGTGTATAAGTGCCTTGTTGACCAGGGGTAGACATGTTAATTTTATGTGTCAACTGGACTAGGTCATGAGGTGCCCAAACATCTGGGTGTTTCGTGAGTGTGTTTTTGGATGATATTAACATTCAAATTCGTAAGTTACACCAAGTAAAGTAGATTGTTCTCTCTAATGTGAGTGGGCCTCATCCAATCAGTTGAAGGCCTAAACAGAAGGAAAAGGCTGATCCTCCCCAGAGTAGGGGAAAGAATTCTTCCTGCCTGATTGTCTTTAAACTGGGACATTATAGTTTGTTTGTTTGTTTGTTTGTTTGTTTGTTTGTTTTTCCTGTACTTGGACTAGAATGAAACCATTAACTCCCCTGGTCTCCAGCTTGCTAATTCAGCCTGCAGATCTCAGGACTTGCTTGTTTCCATAATCAAGAGAGCCAATTCCTCATAATAAATTGATAGATAGACAGACAGACAGACATATAGATAAATCTATCTGTATTCTAGTAATTCTTTTTCTCTAGAGAACCCTGACTACAGATTTTGGTAACAAGAGTGAGGTACCTCCTCTATCCTTCCCTTCTTTCCTCTGTTCCAGTGAACATGGAAGCCATGGCTTCCACATGGCATAACTCAGAACGGAAGACATCTGATCTGCAGCAGACTTCCCCTGAGTGAGAAACAAACCTTTATATTGGCACATCACCCAGACAGCTACCACAAAGTTTCCTAACACAATATTTTGAGATCTAGGCTTCATTCTGACTATGTCTAGGACCTTGAGATTAAAACTAAAATAGGCTAAAATGTGTAATCCTAAATATTAGGCCATATCTTGATAAATACAAAAAAAAACTACAATGAAATTGATAAACCAATATTCCTATAACTGCTCTCATGCATGTAGAACCACCAGGCTCTTTATGATCCCCACATGTTTTCTAGGACATCCCCCAAGGAATGCTACAAGTGTGTTTACAACTCAAGCCAATCTATCAGCTCCAGCGTACATGTGGTGCCCATCACATTCTACTTCTGCTCTGTATCTTGCTTTTGAAGAGTGATGCCTAACAAATCATTTAAAGAGACTATTTGTTGCTGCTACCTTGATAACATTTGCAACAAGACGGCTGCCTCTGAATGTTGTCAAAGCTGCAATGTGGGTTTTCAGGACAGGGAGATAAGAACTGACTTCTCCTATTTGTTTGCTATTTTTTGTCTTCTGGGCCCCCAAACAGAATGTGCTATATACACAGATTTCCAAAGCCTCTCATCAAAATAGCTTCTCCAACACGAAGTGATCAAAAACAATAATAAAGTCTTAAGGAACAAAAGCTATGTCATGGCCCTCCATTTATGTCCCTCTCTATTCCAACAAAATAGCTTTTATTTTCTTGAATCAGAAATTAAAAGCCCACATAGAGTTCAATGAATGCACACATTTATTGATGGATGGTATAGGCCAATATAAGGAAGAAAATTCTCTTTTACAATATTAAAAAGTAAAAGCTCTTTTTTTCACTCATGTGACTTGCAGAAGACATGACTCTTTCTTAATTACTCCACATTTTACCTAGTACCTCTTTATCCCTGAGTATCATTCTGATGAGGTACTTCTCACCTTTTCTATGAGCATCCTAGGACATATGAGGAGATGCACACTGCTGCCTAGTCATATGGATAGACTAAGCTACCTAAGCACTAAGATAAGAGCAAATTACAAAAAAATAAAAAATAAAACAGTGATAGTTAATGCCCTCAAACATCAGAAAACAGCACAACTTTAATTATGCCCCTCAGTTGTGATTTATAATGTTTTAGGTCAGAGTAATTCCAAAGGAAAAATAAAAACTACAACAGAGGGAACTGATTCTATATGCAACCTGCAATAAATTTTCCCATGAAATAGTTATAAAGATTACATTTGTGTCTAATTATTATTTAAAACATAATGTCACCCAGCATTCAGGAACAGAGTTCTGAAAGTGAAAGTGAATTATGTGAAAGTGAATCCCTTCAGAAAAATGTTTTAATTAAGATAAAATTGCTCTTTTTTCCCCAAATTTCTAAATGATGCCATTTTACACTAATGATACATATATAGATCTATTTTCTAAAACATATATTTATATAAAAAACAGTATGTTAATACTCATTATTGCCATGAATATGAAACTTATACTTGGAATAATGATGTTTTCTTTTATGTACTACTCTCCAGTTAATACACAGCGTGCTAGAGAGGATAGCGATAGGCAAATCAGCATTTCTCAAATGGCGTTCTTCTCAAAGGACTTACCCGATGACTTAATGCACAATGAGCGTTTTTTCTTGGTTTTCTCTCATTTGCTATCAAAAAGCATCAAGCATCAGCACCTGCACAAAGAGATTAGGAATGATAGAATTTCTAGGAGCTCATATTAACAGGAAAGTACACAGTGACAAGACAACACAATTTATTTTTAATGTGGTTGCTTAATTAGTTACCATTTTTTAGATGACCTCCCCATGCTACCATATTGTCATCCTTCCAGCTCCCATCTTTTGCTTTTCAGGGAAAGTGTGGGGCTTGAGACCTGATGCCTGCATTTGGTTTTGATTATGCGCTAATGTTGGAATCTGATATTCTAGGAAAGTCTTGTTATTCTGATTGCTTACTTCACGTCCAAGATACTACAGGTCAGCAGCTGTTTTACTGAAGTAAATCTTTAGTACTCAGATTTTTTAAGAATTTCTATACATACTTCTGTGAAATTTCTTTCACTTTTAGAAACTCTAAGGTTTCAGAGTAGGCTTTCAGATTTTTTTTTTTCACGTTCTCTTAAAAAGATACCTAGAATTTCTTTTCACTTGACTTTGCTTGCTCTTTTTTTTCCTCCATGTACTCACCAAGACAGGGCAATCTAGAGTATATTTCTATTTATACACTAAACTGATGATCTTGATTTTTATTCTGAACTGTACTGAGAGGAATAATTATCTCCACTGGGAAAACTAGCTACTGCTTTGGGACAAGCCATTCCCTGGTTTCACTTAAAATAGTAGCAGTATGATTTGCTTCAGATGTGTTACAACATCCATGGCAGCAGAGTTCAATATCTTTGAAAATTAAGGGGCAGTGGTTTAAACATGGCATAGAAAAGCTGAAGAAAGGAGAATTGATACATAATAGTTACCTTTTCTCAATGCACTTTAAGAGAAAGTGACACAAAGTGATTTGGTTTTGTTCCCTTTACCAAATGAAAACAGGGTGGCCTTGCGTAGTCAGTTGAATGGCTTAATGAAAGAACTGAGATAGTAAAAAAGCTAACTTACTCTTTACTTAATTAAGAGGTATCTATATCAAAGCCTGCCCAAAGTACATATGCATTAAGCTTTCAAATACCACTAGCCCCCAGCACAGCACTGAAAGATTTATGAATTTAAAGAGGAGAATTCAGGATGTGGAAATTAATTCTGAGAGAATATCAGAAGTTGAATTATATAAATATAAATATATATATATATGCACATACATAATGCATACATATATGTGTATATATATGCATATATAGACACGTACGTGTTTGAGAGTAAAGTAAAATCTGTGCCTCTCCAACTGTAATTGCTTAAATCTTGCTCCATTTTATCTTTTTTTCTAGACCTTTCCTTTATAGCTTACTTTAATCAATATTTATACTGAATATTTTATTTAGAAGTTTTATGTTTATAGAAAAGCACACTTGATTATGAAAACATTGATTTTATGTCTTGCTCCCTAATCTATGACTAGGCAGATGAATGGTAAAGTTAACTCACTCTCCCAAATGGTTATAAAATTTGTATTTCAGGCAGCGTTCCAAGAGGTCATGGCTTGTTTGAAGACTTAACATATTTTCATGCAGATATATTGCAGAAACCACCCCCTAAATCAGAGACTAACAAAATGTATGTTACCATGCAGATGGAGTGAAATAAAGAGAGCTCCAATAGTATATCAGTGGGACGGTCAGTACTGGGGAAGATACTATAGAAGGGAAGACCCTCAGGAGGAACAATGCACAAATGAGTGGTCAGAAGCCTTGATGAACAGCAAGATAAGCCAAAACCCTAAATCAAGGTCAACCTAAACTTCTAATATTAGAAAAATAAAATGAGGCAAACGTGAGACAGTGCACGCATAAAGTTACAATCCACTTAGATATTATAGGAAGTTTTGTGCCTGGTTTGGAAATAGTATGCTTCTTCCTTAATGTGATTAATACAGAGCAATTGTAATTATAAAGGCTATGCTTCTGATAGTTTTGTTCTATACTGATACAGATGATACTTTATAGGAAAATGTGATTTAGGGTCTTATGAAGCCATGCAAGTTCCATCTCTGGGAGAGCCCGTTATACATTTTGAGAGAACTTTGGTTGGCTAAAGATCCAGGCTTCCCTTTATTCTTGAGGGAACTCTAGCCTCTCTCAAGTTTTCCTAAACAGTTCTGGGAATTCCCTCTGGGTTTATTCCCATTGTAGCACATGTCACAATAAATTAAAATTGCCCATTTCTGGGCCACCTCCCATTATACTTAAGCTCTTTGACGGAGAGGTGTCTTACTCAAGTTCTTTTTTATTCAAACCCTACATCCAATTGATGACAAGGTTCCATCCTCTCTACTACTAAATATACATCTCTGTCCCAACTCCCTCTCACCAATTTCGATACTACAATCTTACCACAGGGTCTCATCATCTTTTGTCTGGATTCATATACAATAGTCACCAAAGTGGTCTTCCTGATTCTGCTCTTATCCCACTACAGTCTACCCTACTGAGTGTAGCCAGGGGGATGTTTCTAAAACTTATATTCAAACCACTGTCCTTAATAACCCTTCAAATAACTTCCAGTGGAAAGGATGATAAAAGCCAACCCGTTTACCCACTTATTTCTTTCTACTTTCCCTTAGGTTGTACACTTTAGGGAGAATATCTTCCATTCTATTTCTTGAACATTCTATATTTATCCCTGACCAGGGTCTTTGCCTTTGGATGCCTTTCTGCTTGGATGCTCTGCTCCCAGGTCTCTGCATGGCTACCTGCCTCTAGTCACTTGGGTCTCAACTCAAATTTCACCCTCCCAGGAAGATCTTCCATGACTCTTTAGATAAAGGTGTCCACCTTGCCCCAGTCGCTCAGTCTCGTATTTCCCTACTTTGTCTGTTTCATAGCACATTTTAGTATCAGAAACTTTCACATCCAGAGGTACCTGGGTGGCTCAGTTCATTAAGCGTCTGACTTCGGCTCAGGTCACGATCTCACGGTTCATGGGTTCAAGACCCGTGTCAGGCTCTGCGCTGACAGCTCAGAGCCTGGAGCCTGCTTCAGAATTTGTGTCTGCCTCTCTCTCTCTGCTCCTCCCCCACTTGTGTGTGCTCTCTCTGTCTCTCAAAAATAAATCAGCATCTAAAAAAATTTTTAAAAGAAACTATCATATCAGTTAATGTATTTATTGTCTATCCCACTTGAAGATAAACTCGAGAACAGAGACTTTATCCCATTCATTACTATATTCTCAGTTCTTAGACCTGTGCCTGATAAACAGTCAGTGATTAATAAGTATTTTCAGTGAGTGGTAGGGAGTTTGTCTTCTAAACCACTCTTCCTCCATTGTCCAGCATCACACCATATGCATTTTAGATACATAAGAAATATTCATTGATTGAATTAGTGTTTTCCCTGAGAAAAATCTGCTTGACAATTATGTGGTGCTAAGGGTTGAATCATACCCCCCAAAAGGATATGTTGAATTCCTAAAACCTGGTACCTGTGAATGTGATCTTACTTGGAAACAATGTCTTTGCTGATGTAATCAAGTTCATATGAGGTCATTCTCTATTAAGTTGGCCCCTAACCCTTGTGTCCTTATAAAAACAGAAGAGATACAGAGACAGACATGAACAAAAGGAACAATGCCATGTGAAAATAGAGGCAGAGATTGGAGTGGTGTACGTGCAAGCCAAGGATTGCTGGTAACACCAGTAGCTAAGAAAAAGGCATGGAACAGATTCTTCCTCAGAGATCTCCAGAAGGAACCAATCTTGCCACCACCTTGAATTTTCACTCCTGGCCTCCAGAAGAATGAGAGAATAGATTTCTGTTGTTTTAAGCCATGCAGTCTGTGATGCTTTGTTAGGGCAGCCATAGGAAATTAATATATATGGCAAAAAGAAAAAGGAAAGGTTGAGAAGATGAGTAAGAATTAAAATGTGAGGTGCAAATTTACTATCATTCCATTATGAAATGTAAGGAAATGTTCCAGGTTTCATTATTTACTAGACATGTAACTGCAGGTGTACATTTTAACCTCCCTGAGCCTGTTTTCTCGTTTATAAAATGTGGGTTATAACGCCCTCCTATAGTGTTATGATACTAATATAGTTAACATATGCAATTCCCTCAAAACAGTGTCCAGTATATAGTGAATATTCAAAAAATATTAGCCCTTCTTCTTCCTCAGGGGCTGGAAACTGTAACAGTGCGTAAAGACTGGTGCTATAGCCGTGAGCTACATAAATTCTGCTCATCACTCAGCAATTTATTCCTCCAGCAAAGATTACTTGAGTCCCAAGTATTGTACTGTTCTCTCTGTTCCAATGCCAGGTTGAGCTCTTCAGCAGCATTCCCTCAGAATCATTTCTTTGAAGATTAAGGAATCTGGAGTCAGATTTCAGCCTAATAGAAGGTTCAACACAATGAGTTCTTTCTTTCTAAACGTAGACAGAAATACTCATGAGGGGGGCGCCTGGGTGGCTCAGTAGGTTGAGCCTCTGACTTCAGCTCAGGTCATGATCTCACAGTTTGTGGGTTTGAGCCCCGCGTCGGGCTCTGTGCCGACAGCTCAGAGCCTGGAGCCTGCTTCAGATTCTGTGTCTCCTTCTCTCTTTGTTCCTCGCCTGCTCACGCTCTGTCTCTCTCTAAGATAAGTAACGATTTAAAAAAATTAAAAGAAAAAAAAAGAAAGAAAGAAATACTCATGAGGTAATGACTTGCCTGAGTTTGCAGGATTGCTCCCCAGGAAGATGTAGATGAGATTCATATACAGATCTGGTAAAGCAGATGCATTGCCACGTGTGGTGGATACTGTGGCACACTGCCCAGAGCCCCTTTCAGAACTGAGGGCACAATTCCTCATTGGCTGCCAGTGCCTCTGGTTATCAGTCCATTCTGGAACTTGCTCTTGTCTTAAGAGCTAACTCACCTAAAGCCATGCCCTCTTCCTGGGGCAGTGTAGATCCAAAATTGGCTGTTGTTGGGGTAGTAAGATGCATTCTCTTCTCCCCAAGTTAGGACAATTCTGAAGGATCAGAATTGAGCTCCCCATGGGATCAGCCAAGAACTTTCCTGAGTCAGATTAAGGTGACCTTTTCCCTCTGCCCAATCCTATTTCCATCTC